CAATCTCAGTCATGATGACTCATTGTTCTGAGAGCTCTTTCATTTTCTCCATCCCTGTCGCTTTACATGAGGTGGGCAGATGGTGTTTGTGGCAGGGCCAGCTCCACCCTCACTTGTTTGTCTGGAGCTGACACATAGCTTCATTTTCTGGTGGTAACTTTGGCACCGTGAAGAGCTTAAGATTTGGGCAGTAGTAATTTATAGGGTGACAAAAAGTATACAAGTCAGCATCTTCTTAAAAATACATTCAGGAAGGTGGAAGTCTAAGAGTTTCCAATCTAGAGAGCAAAGGAGAGGAAATGTTCACATACCAAGGGCTAGTGTCCTTCATATATCAAGGGAAAAGACGAACAAACACATTATTATCATGAAAACATGTTTTTCCTGACCAGCATCTGTTCTTCGTCCTTCCTGATTCCAGGAACCCACAGTTCCTTGGAGAAGCCACTCTTCCGCATACTCCTCAGACTTGAAGTTTCCTCGGAATTTACCCAACCCACAATTCAGCAATGTGCCTCGATTTGCTTAGGCAAATCAGTAAAACCCATCCCCGCAGCCACAGTGATTGGCTAGGAATAGGGATTCTGAACTAAGTTAGTCAAATCCAAAAGAACCTAGAGATTTTTGTCAAGGGGGACACAGCCCCTCTCTTCCCTGAAGAAAATGAACAAGGATTCATGTGACCCTGGGGGGCACCTGGGACTTCCACACAGAAGGGGGGGCTCAGAAAGAGAAGGAAATGTCACCTGTGGGGTATCACAGGGCTGTGCATCCAGCCTGACCTGGAGCCAGAGCCGCCCCTGGACCCTTCAGCCTTGGAGACGCAAGGTTCATTTATTCAAGCTTCTCAGAGTTAGGTTTGTTGGCTTGTTTGTTTTCCTCCTTGAAACTACCAAGTTTCCTGAGAAATAGAGTCCTGTATCTGGGTAGAGACACAGGGTCTGTTAAACGTGACAGCCCCCAACTGAAGTGTGAGATTGGCTGAACTGAAAAAGTCGGAGGGAATTTAGAGAGTAACTTGTTAAATGCAACTGGCTTTTAAACTGCTTTTTTTTTTTTTTTGTTATTGGTGTTGTTGTGTGGGAATCCCCTAAGGTTTGTTAAAACACAGATCACTGTGTTCTGCCTGCTGAAGGAGGGAGGAACCCTTGGACTGTGGTCTCTGGCAAGTCCCTGGCGTTGCTCAGCCTGTCCTCCGGGCACCGCCTTTGGGAACCGCTCTTGCAGGGTGTTGCTGCTGCTGGTTGAACTGTGGTCTGTGACCGGTCGGTGGGTGCTAAGGCCCTTTGACAAATACTAAGGCTGCAACATTAGAGAATTTGATAGGTAAGATCCAGAATATTGACATATAATAGGTACCACTTGCATTCATCAGTAAGGTCCTTTAGGAAAGAGTTCAGGCTACTTGGAAATGGGCTCACCTGAAATCAGGAAAGGAAAACAACAATCAGCTTTGCTGAGAAAGGCCTGTTGACTGTTGCCAGTAACCTGGAGTCTAGAAGGGCTATAAAGGCAGACAGTCTGCTCCAAGCTTAAGGCAGGGCACACAGAGGCAGGGAGGTGAGAGACTTCACAGGAGAAAACCCTGGGGTCTAGCAGTGGCCCTAACCCCCTCCCTACCCTATCCCATGAAATATGTGTCTTCCTTACTCAAAGTGGACAATTAGCTCCTTGTGAAGGTGTGGGGAGGATGTGGCTTTGTGCTGGGCATCAAATATTTGTCACTTCTGCACATTGCCTCATCTCCAGGGGGCCAAGAGGGAGGCAGAGTCTCGCACCAAAGGGCCCAGAGGTAGGATGTGTCGGGTGACTGCCGTATGGAGGCCCGGGCTAGGAAGGACACATTACCAACCCTTGTTAAAATTCAAGATAAAAGGCTGGACAAGCCCTCTGCTTCTCGTGGTCTAGCCCACAGAACTGGTCAGAAGCAAAGAGTTCAGAAACCTCCTATTATTAGAAGAGTGTTACATCGCCAAAGAAACCGCGAGACCAGCCCCAAGTGGCTATCAATTGCTCAACACCCAAGGCAAACCCCAGGCTGCTAACTCACGTGGGCAGGAGGCAGGCAGCCCCTGAAAAGAGGGATCTCCCCCAGCACATACATGTGTCCATACAGGACACTTCGCGGGGAGACCAACCAGGATGCTGACCAGGGATCTCAGTCGCATCTGTGACTCTGAAAGGCCCTAGTGCAGGTTCACAATGCGACCTCCATCCTCCCCGTTTTCTCACAATGGTCTTCGGTCTGTCGCTCTGTTCACAGCTCTCGTATTGAGGGAATGTTGAGTATGTTTTAAGCTTCTCATTTGGCTTTGGGTTGCAGGGCCTTGAGAAACAATTCAGTGTAAATGAGCAGGTTTTGTTTGTCCCTCGATGCTGGAGGCCAAAAGGGAAGAGAAGGGAACAGGTTCACTGCTTCTGTGGAGACAAAGGCTTTTCCTCCCAGTCACCTGATGGTGCCTTCACATGTATCACAGTGTGGGTGGTGATGGTGCGAGGGGAATGTGGCCCTCATCGTAGAAGAGGATTGTGAAGTGTTGCCTGGGAGGAGTGTGTGTGTGTGTGTGAGAGAGAGGGAGAGAGAGAGAGAGAGCTGGAGGGAGAGACAGAGAGGGAGAGGAGAGGGAGAAGCCTTGGGTGGACGGCTTGTTTGTTGCATTGCTCTCACTATATAAGAGCCACTGCAGCACACAGACCGTTATGAATGGCCAAGCTGAGCTCTGTCTTCTCTGTGTCCACTCAGAATCCAACCAGAAAAGGGTTCTGATGAATAGAGTATCACCCATCAAAGGTAGGGGAAGGAAGGGTAAGATAGAGCAGAGAGGTAAATGAGACATGCTCACTGAAAAAGAAATTAAATTTAGAAAGTGCAGAGAAAAAGAAAAGTACCTATTCCTAAAAGAAATATGTATTAATCCCATTTACCCTAAGAAACCAGTGAGCTATTTGATATGTATCTTTCCAAATATTTGCCTTTGCAAATATATATATATATGTGGCTTTAAAAATAATAGCATTTTATACATCCAGTTCTGTAGCATACATGTAGAGTATGTATGCACATACTAGATGTAAACAGATATACCTTTTGCACATAATATTATGGACACTTTCCATAGGTGTAGAGGTGTTTATCCTTTTTCCTGACTGCAGAATATTCCACTGGGGGCATCTCAGTCCTCTGCTGCTTTAATCCTTGGCTGATAGTTGCTTCCATTTGTTTGCTGTTTACAAACCATGCTGCAAAGAATATCCTTGTGCCAGTGCAGGGTGGGGCAAAGCAGGCTTACAGCTGTGGGTACGTGAAACACAGTTTATCCTTGTATTATTATTTATTAATTATTATATTATTCTCCCCATAAACAGCTGTAAACCTACATTTGCTCCACCCAGCATATTCCTGTCCCTTGGTAGTGTTACTACAAAATAGATTCCTAGTGATGGAATCAGGGCCAGCGATATCCAGGTCAAACAGTATGTGCATTGTAATGTTTGCTTAATAGGATGTTTAATTGTACCCTAAAGAGTTCGATCACTATAATTCTAAACAAATTTGGGGTATAAAAATTAGATTCTTTCAAACAAAATGAAATAATCATGGCTCATAAAAATGAACACATGTTTGGTTTTCCCACGAGTCCTTTGAATGTTTCCTTCTTTGGGACAAAGGACACTCACTCAGTGACACTTCCTGTGGTTATTACTGTAACTCAGGAATTCCATCTATTAAATAACTCGGCTTTCTCAGTAAACCTATCAACAGAATCCTGCTCCACATGTACACTGGTAGAGTTTCCCCTTAATATTTGCTATTCATTTCGTGAAGCATGGATTCAAGTAAAAAATAAGGTACAATATACCTGCTACTGTGTACAGACATGCACTGTACTCAGAAGAGTACATCCTGTTTGCATCCTATTTGACTGTTTCTGCTCCTCAGCTGCTTGTACCCTATGTGGAAAACAGGCATGTGGAAAACCCGATAGGCTTGGTAGAAATATCAGTTCCCAGGTCCATATCTAAAAATTATGATGTGAATGGTTTTAAACAGTCACTGCTTGATATTTGAGTACAGGTGGATGGCATTTTGGGAAATAACTTGGCTACTGATTAAGGACATAGTCTGTGGGAGTAAAAGGCAGAAAACTGCACTTGAACAACAATTAAAATAAAAATGGCAAAAAAAGAGAACATAGTCTGTAGTTATAACAAAGTCTAGTTTTGGAACTCAGTTGTACCATTTGCTGTGTGATCTAGGCCAAGCTGCTTACCCTCTCTGAGCCCCAGCCCCAGTTTACTCTTCTGTCAATGAGCTATACTCTCATTGTGAGGGTCAGATACTCACTGTATAGAAAGCATTCAGCTTAGCCCTGACATGTGTGGCTAAGGTGGGTGGGCATCATGCCACAGGGTGAAATGTCCCTAGTTTGATTCCTGGTCTGGGCACACGCCTGGGATGTGGGTTTGGTCCCTAGTTGGGGACATGCAAGAGACAACCAATGGGTGTTTTTCCTCACACACTGATGTTTCTCTGCCTCTCCCTCTCCTTCCCTTCCCCTCTCCCTAAAATTAAATAAACATAATCTTAGAGTATCAAATGTTACTAATTGTTATTAACAAAGTTTGATTAATCATAAATAGGTACTACAAATACTCTTCTAAATGGTATCCATTCGAGTAGTGAGTTTTCCTAAAGCAGGTACACTATGATTCAATTTATAAAATACTTTCGTATGTTCAAATAATTTTTATATGTTTCAAGTGATTTCGGCGCTCCGGGACTGGAGTTCCGGTATGAAGCAGAGCGTCCCTGAGGCAGCCCCCTCTCCCTCTCCCCCTCCCCCCGCCCACCCGCTTCCCTGTGCTTCCTCTCTTCCCATCCTTTGCCTATTATTTCTTTCAACCAGTGACTCTGATTCGTCAGATAAACCAAACCAAACTCAAAGCCAGTTTACTTTCTAAAAGAGCATTTTTATTATTATGTCTCCGGGCTGAACACAGCACTGAACAGAAACATTTCATACACATGTGTCAGTGTGGCGGCTTTACCGCCACCTCCGCCCAGAACAAACTATGACGGCCACTCAGCTGTCATCAAACGCAGTGCAAGTAGAGGGGCGGGGGAGGGTGGTGAGGAGGGCGTCTTGAGGTCTCTTGGAGCAAACAGTGCCAAACACAGCATGGCATTCAAAATAAATTATGAAAATTAAATAGTATAAATAAGTTGAAATTTAAGTTAGGAAGAGTCCCAGTGTGTGGGTTGGGGTGCCAACCCACCCACAGGAGAGGTAGCTGTGGAGGTAGCAGGGGTGTTTCCAAGGCTCGGGCCCGGCTTCCCATTGGCCCACCGAGGCCACTGGGTTCCTCTTAGCTTCCAGGCCGCTCAGGCATTCCGTTCCAGGTCAGCAACGTATTCCTGGACCCAGGCCTCACTGGGGTCCGCACAGACCTCCCGGCCTCTTTTGGTTAGGAAGCTGTGGAGAGGAGAGGACAGGTTACACACTGAACAATTCAGCAGGGGAACTCTGGGCCCGCCCATGGCCCCTCTGCCCCATGCTCTGCCCAGCAGCTCAGGACCTGCTCACTCTCTCAAGGACTCTCTGCCGATCTCAGACCAGGGAGCTGCTCCCACTGACTCAGGGAGCCCCTCCGAGGATCCTGCTGCTGCCGCCGCCTCCTTCTTCCCCTTCCTTCCTTCTGGGCCGTACCAGCCCGCCACCCTGACTTGGCAAGCCGCCCCTGGCCAGGTCAGGTCACACCTCGGAGACCTGGGTCCTGCGTAGTTGATAGGAAGTCCTGGAGGATGGGGCCTTCCAGGGATGGCTCCCCTGGCCGGTCTGTGCCCCCCCGCTCCACACCCTCCCCATCTCCCCAGGGCTGGGCAGGAGAGCTGGCACTTACATGATGCCGGGATTGGAGCACTGGCCGCTGGTCTCAAAATGCTTGGTTATGAATTTACGCGGAATCGGCTTGGAGGCATAGGAGAAGCAGCAGGCGGTCGGGGTGTCCGCGCCAACTGGAGAGGAAGGGACAGAATGAGCCTGAGTTACAGTGCAGGAGAAAAGGCGAGATCTGGGTCTGGTTCCTGAGAGGCTGAGGAGGACACGGGCCAAGCCAGCCTTGCTCAGGGCGTGGGCCGGGAGACCAGGGCACTAGAGGGCACTGGGCACATTTGCCCAGAAACTTCCCTGTCTCTGTCCTTGTTCCTGTCTGCATCTTTCTTTCTGTTTGAGCCTTCATTCGGGGTGCCTTCTCTGTGTGATGCAGACAGCCAAGCAGACTGTTCTCTGATCTCATTTCCCTTCAAGAAATTTTGTCTGATCCAAGAAGTCAAAACCCAGCGAAAGAGAAACCTCAGACATGTATCCTAAGACATCCAAGGAACAGAGCTCTTGGGAGACCTAGAATGACTTAGTAGAAGAATGATAGCACTGGGTTTGCCTCTTGCAAACTCATTGGCTTAGGTCCCTACTTTGCCACCTATAAAATGGGACTGTTACTTTCCTATCCCACCCTGGCTCTCAGACATGGGGATTAGGCTAGTTTACACCCCTTCATAAGATGAAAATAAAAGTCTTGCAGGGAAAAAAAAAAGCAAAGATGCTTTATAACCCTTTAGGAAGTTCTCTATTTTCTCTCGGTGGCTCTCAAGACCACAAGAATAGACGGTTGTGGTCTGACCGTGGCCAGAGAGTGGGGACACTCAGAGCCACAGCGCAGACTCACCTGGTGCCGAGAAGACCTGGCTGCAGAGGGCCGTGGTGCAGAGGAGGACGGCCAGCGCAGCCCCGGAGACCTTCATGATGCTGAGCAGATGGTGTGCGAGCTTGAGTGTCAGGAGGGCAGAGATGGGAGTGGGCACTCGCTGCTGGCTGCGTCTCTGTACAGTGCAGGGCCATCTCCCTGCTCTTTATAGGCCCCCTGGCGGATGGGGAAATGGAACCCGGGGGTGAGGAGGGAAATTTTTACGCACGGTAGTGCTGTCAGATTGTGTTGCACAACTCACGTCCCAGTGACCACAGGCACTCAGGATATCCAAGAATAGCTTCTCTGAGCTATAAGTGTGAGCACACACCTCATGACTTGTTCTGGTTTCTTGCAGTGAAATGGTTTCCCCCAAGAGCAAGAGGAAAAAGAGGGTGTCTCCACTCAGGGCTATTCTTAGCTGGTCCCGTTCCATAGGAACTGACCTATACATGAGCACTCCAGCTCTGCCCTTCCCACCGAGCTGAAACTTCTGTGCTTCCTCAGCTGCTCTACCACTAGAATGGGTGGATGTGATGATGTTGTGGAGGGTGGCACAGCCTCCCTCAGAAGAAGACACTGGATTAAGGAATCCCCACTAGAGGACAAGGAAGTGTGAGGTCATGATTCTGGCAATGGTCCACTCATCTGACAGTCACTGAGTGACTCAGGTTACTGGGTCGAACCCTGGTTGAGGGTCATAAAGATACATTAGGTGTGGGTGTTAATGTGCCAGAAGCCTAAACAATAGTTATACCCATAAACTTTTCCAAGAATACATTTCTAGGAAAGAGTTCTAAAGAAACAAATCCAAATATGGAAGCATCTTCAAACATAAAGATATATCTGACCCAGCATCCTTTGTAGCTCTAAAGTAAGGAAGACTACATTCTCCTCTGCCAGGAATGCTGAATTATGGTATTGCCACTGGCTTACTTGTTATTAAGCCCTTAAGCTGAACGAAGTGTCACAGAATAAACATTTAAAAATTACGAGGAAAAAATGTACACATTATACAAGATGAAGGATTGTACAAATATACATGTATGACAAATATTGTAACCATATATTGTATATATATGTGTATATAATACTAGGCATAGAAAAAATAAAAAGTATCAAAAATAAATGCCCCAATGCAGCAATAGTCTTATATATATGTGAGAGATAGGTGGGTGATTTTGTTGTTTTTCTTTTTCCGGAGCTTTCTCATTTTTTACTTTCCTATTCAGCTCACAAGTTTACAAACACATTTTGTTTTAAAGTAACAATATTGATTGAAAGTAGGTTCTTGTCAATTGTTTGATTTTAATTTGAAAGGAAATTTTGAGAAATATACTAAAGTTTCTGTCTTTGCTAAAATGAAGTTTTGATTTCCATTCCTCTGTACCATTTTAAGGAACTTATAGGACATTTACATAAATAATGCCAAATTCAAAGCAGTTTTCTTATTCTTTTTAATTCATCATTTCAGCAGGGTGAAAGGGCCCACTTTCTCAGTCAGGTCTGTATGTTTTTTCCTCCTCCATTCCTTATCATTTTATAGTTATATAATGAATAAGCATAAATCACATTATATAATGAGAAATAGATTTAGTTTTTATTTATTTACTTATTTTAAAGATTTTATTTATTTGCTTTTAGAGGAGGTAAGGGAGAGAGAAAGAGAGGGAGAGAAACATCAATGTGTGGTTGCCTCTCGTGCGCCCCCCACTGGGGTCCTGACCTGCAACCCAGGCATATACCCTGACTGGGAATCAAACCGGCGACCCTTTGGTTCATAAGCGGGCACTCAATCCACTGAGCCACATCAGCCAGGGCAGATTTAGTTCTTTTTAATCGTCGTCCTCTAGATGCCCCAGGTCTAGTGGGGGGCAGGTAGAGTATATACAGAGTGAGGCAAAAGCAGGTTAACAACTGTTCATATGGAATATAATGCAGTAATTAGTAAATAATAATTCAAGAATAAACTCTGTGTTTCATACGCTTACAACTGTAAACCTACTCTTGCCCTACCCTGTATAAACAGGTAACCACAGCAACTAGCAGAAAGTGCTAAGATTCCTAGGAGAAAAATAAATGAAAGCTCAGAATGCCAGGAGGAGGAAGCAATGACATCCCTGGGGAGGACTGAGGAAGGCTTCATGGAAGGGAAAGAACTCTGGTCGGGTCTTGAGAGCTACACAGGATTTGAACATTCACAGATGGGCTGGCAGCAGAGGTCCAGCTGATGCAGAGTTACAGATGCGAAATTGCTGGCTCAGAAGGAGGAGAGAGCCATCAGTGTAGCTGAGGAGTGGTGGAGCAAATATGGATGATGAAGGTAAATTGGGGCCAAACCAGAGGGCTTTGATCCCCCAAAAGGGGCTAGAACAATGGAGGGAACAAGACATAAGCAAAGTATGACCACACCTTGGGAATTCTGTCTTTCCTGTGTCTATAGAGTTGCTTCTCTGAAAGCACATGGCTGTGTTTCTATCCCATCCCTTTGATTGCTAATCCTGGTCATGAGGGAAGTGCAGCAAAGACAAGATCAGGTGGGATGGCTGGTTTCACTGAGGCTTTAAATGTTTGTTTGTTTGTTGTTTGTTTTTCAAAGAGAGGGGAAGGAAGGGAGAAAGAGAGGGAGAAAAACATTAATCTAGAGCCCAACTGGGGACTGAATCTACAACCTAGGCAAGTGTCCTGACTGGGAATCGAACCATTGACCTTTCACTTTGTAGGACCATGCCCAACCAACTGAGGCACACCAGTCAGGGCAATTTCACTGAAGCCTCAGCATCCAGGCATCTCCTCTTGTTACAGTCAGTTCCAAAAATGGCATCTATCACTTGTTTCATTGGAAACTCTAGGTCATAGGCAATGCCTCCTCCTCACCCCACTTCCTCTGCCCCAGTCCTCAACCGATACTCTGAATTGCATTTCCTTATTTATTTCTTGGGAGGAACTCCTTTCATATTTGTGATTCAGTTTCTGAGGGCTGGCTTCTATGAATTGGGGAGGGTGAGAAGAAGGAAATGGAAACTGCTGAATCAACCACTTTCTGATAATGGACCTTCTTATCTACTTCCATGATTACAGCACTTATTGCATGGTGTTATAATGCATTATTTATGTAATTTTCTCTTCAAAAAATTTAGACCATATCCTGTTGACTTCAAATAAAATTTATACCATGTCTCATTGGTGGATTTAAACCAAATCCTAGCACATGATAATTATAACATGATGAATTCTTAAATTATATTTTATTGATTATGCTATTATAGTTGTCCTGATTTTCCTCCTTTGCCCCCCACCCAGTACCCCTCACTCCCTCAGGCAATCTCCCCACCTTTGTTTATGTCCATGGGTCATGAGTATAAGTTCTTTGGCTACTCTATTTCCTATACTGTACTTTACATCCCCATGGCTATTCTGTAACTACCTGTTTGTACTTCCTAATCCCCTCACCCCTTCACCTATTCTCCTCCTCCCTCCTCTCATCTGGTAACTTTCTGGTAACTAATTTCTTTTCTCTTGCTTTTAAGGGTCTCTCTTTATCTTTAACCTTTGGCCTTTTAATAATGATGTGTCTTGGAGTGAGCCTCTTTGCATCCATCACAATTGGGATTCTCTGAACTTCCTGGACCTGCATGTCTATTTCCTTCACCAAATTAGGGAAATTTTCTTTCACTGTTTTTTTCAGATTTCCAAATTCTTGCTCTTTCTCTTCTCCTTCTGGCACACCTACAATGCAAATGTTGAACCTCTTAAAATTGTTCCAGAGGCTGCTTGTACTATCCTCATTTTTTTTTATTATTTTTTCTTCTTGTTGTTCTGCATGGGTGTTTTTTGTTTCCTTATGTTCCAAATCACTGATTTGATTCTCAGCTTCATCCATTCTACTTTTGTTTCCCTGTAAATTGTTATTTATTTCAATTAGTGTGTCCTTCGTTTCTGACTGAATCTTTTTTATGTTGCTGAAGTTCCCACTAAATTCCTTGAGCATCCTTATAAACAGTAGTTTGAACTCTGCATCTGATAGATTGCTTATCTTCATTTCATTTAGCTCTTTTTCTGGAGTTTTTATATATTCTCTCATTTGGGTCCTGTTTCTTTGTCTCCTTGTTTTGGCTTCCTCTCTGTGTTTATTTCTATATATAAGGTAGAGCTGCTTTGACTCCATGTCTTAGTAGTGTGACCTAATGTAGCAGGTGTCCTGTAGGGTCCAGTGGCACAGCCTCCTCTATCACCCAGCTGGGTACTCAAGGTGCACCCTTTGTGTGGTTTGAGTACACCCTCCTCTTGTAGTTGAGCCTTGGTTGCTGTTGGCAGGTCAATGGGAGGGATTTACCCAGACCAGTCAGCTGCAACAATTGACTGTGACCACTTACCACCAACTTCCACCCTCCGTAGAGGATCAGCTATGAAAGGGCAGTGTGGTGGTGCTACTGGAGCACCACAATGTGGTCTGTAGCTGTCCACTGGATATGTTGACCCTGGGGTTTCCTGGGTGGTGCAGGCCAAGGTCATGCCCCATCTGAATATCATGACGAATTTTTTTATATAATCTCTATTTCTTATAATTTTGCTCTTTTAATAAAGGTGACTTTTTGAATACAAAATTCTACCTTAGTAATTATATATGTAAAATTTTCCATATATATCCTAAATCCAGGAAATAGCCCTTTGTCTTACATGTTTTTACTTGAATTGGAAAATAACACATGCAAAGCATGCACTTACTCTGCAAATGTTGAATGAATAATCTGAGGGAGGCTAAGGTGGTTGAATTGGTTATGAAGGGTCTTAGAAATTTCCTACATGGTAAATTGACATTCCCAGGTGAAATGATTATCCCAGGATCACACAGATAGAATTGGGTAGTTTTATATTTCACTGTGTGCATGATTTAGCTATGTACTTCCAATGATAACCACAGTGCCTGACACATAGTGGAGCTTAATAAATACTTGGTAAATGAATGAATAAATCACTGATTTTACTAACAGTATATAGTATAGAAGAAGCTATATTCTTCTACTGTAGCTATATATAGTATATGTAGGGCTCAGTACTATCTGAGGTTTTGGGCATCCACTGGGAGTCTTGGAATGTATCCCTCACTGATAAGGGG